AAAGACATACATTTTGTCAGAGGCTAAAAAATCAATGCAACACGATTTCCTATCAGCAAGTTAATTATTCTTTTGTTTTAATCAAGTGCAACTTATTTTTTTTTTTTAGTTAAAAATGTTGTTTTTAACAAGTTTAAACTGCTCTTTCTGCTGGGATTGCTCAAGCAATGAATGCATTAACAAAATGGAAATTTTTTAGCAGCAAAACAGCAAGTAGATAAAATAAAGTTTGTTCCAGGTAATAAAGCACAAAATGAACTCAACAAATATTTTATTGAAATAAGGAACAGCCTTATGTCCCAAAATGATTTAAATTTTTGGAAGATGAGATGTGCTGTTTACCCACATATTGCACCTTAGTTGAAGACCTCGTTGCAGCTCTTGCAACTCAAGCATATGTTGAAAGACTTTTTTCAATCTATGGTTTGCTCACAAATAGCAGAAGAAATCGAATGTCAGCGTCATTGGAAATGTGAGTTTTCTTAAAACTAAAATCTCATCTAGTCTAGATGACAAACATATAATCATTATGCGCTTTATTTGCAAAATATATGAGTAATAATTAAAGTCAATACAATAACTATTCATTAGTTTTTATTGTTACTAAATGCTTCTTTTTTTTTTGTAGTTATACCTAATAATTATTAGGTATAACTAAAATTCAATTATAATTGAACTTTTTTAAAATTTTAGAGACCTAGACCCAGATTGTTATTGTGTTTTTATAAGGAGCAGGAGACAGGGCTCTGAACTCCAAGACATGGCACTATAATGTATTAAGTTACATTTAATTAAGTTTTCTCATTTTTTTGTTTGCTTATAGCAATAAATCCTACTTCTTTTAATTATTTATGCCTATATTATTTGTAAATTCTATTAAATCAAAATTAGACAAGATAAAAAATTTATACGACAAATGAAAATTGAATATAATAAAAACAAGAACTAAAATAATTTAAACATGAACGTAATAAAAACTAAAAACTAAAACTATAACTATTTTCCGAAAGAAAATATCACTGATGTATGCATGCAAGCGTATGTGTGTATATGAATATATATTAAACTACATCTTTTATTTTGTCACTAAATACTGCATCACTGAACTGATAAATAAAACAGCTAAAAAAAATTTCAAAAATCTCCCAATATTAATTTTGGTCAATCAAATTTAATCGGCAAGAATTGTAAAGCAAACATAATAATTTCATATTTATATACCTTTAAAAACAGAAAATTGAAATTATTAAGCTAGCAGCTAAATGTTTTTGATTATTGGAATAAAAATATTTTTGAGACCGACCAGAAGGCACTAAAGGTGTTTAACACTTATTAAAATGTATTAACACATTTTTTGGACATGTTAAACACAACTTATTCTTTTTGTGCATAACAATCTTTAGTTTACAGTAAAAAAGTGCAAAAAATATTATTGAATAGACAAAAATATAGAATGATGAGTAATAATAAATAATTTTGATTGGCACAATAAGCATAAAAATTAGATAATTGTTTATAAATTTTAATGAATCAATTGGATTTTTTTTGAATGAAATTAATTTGAAATAATAACTAGAAATGTTAATATTTCTTCTAAAGTCTTAATAATAAATACAGCGATCATAAGAGTTTTAGAAAAATGGTTATTTACTTTTGTTTAAATAATTTAATAGTCTCAAAAGTTTGAGACTTTATGTCAAAGCAATGTCATAAATTTTCATAAATTTTATGTCAAAACAATGTAATAAGTTTTATGTGATAAATTGAAAGAAAAAAAAAAAAAAAGTAATAACTTTTTTAATTTTGTCTAAGAAAGATTATTATTTTTTTATATTATTTTGAATCACCCAAAACAAATGATAATTTATTAACAAAAATGATATTTCAATTTATTAGCTCATTTTAATTGCAATTTTCATTTGTAAATCAATATCTATATCAAATCTAAGAAAAAAAAATATTTTCACTTCTCCGTACTGCTGTATGTAGAAGTGAAAATATTTATTGAGAGTTAAAAAAACAAATATATTTATAAAGTTGGTATTTTATCATATTATCATTTATTGTATTATAATTAAAAGATTAAGCTTAATTGAGCATAACTTTTTGAGTTTGCACAATATTTTATAGGGTCATATTTTTATAAAGCCTGATAATCCACAAATATTTAAATAATATTTTTTTTTAATCAGCGTTTTTTGTGGGTTATAAGGCTTTATAACAATATTACCTATAAAATATTATAGGAATATATATATATATATATATATATATATATATATATATATATATATATATATATATATATATATATATATATATATATATATATATATATATATATATATATATATATATATATACTCTTGCATGGTAGTCACAAAGTTTTTCCCATAAACTGTAATTTTAAAGAGCGCGTTAATAAGTCTGACCAGAAAATGTTAAAAACTTCAAAAAAAAAAAAATTATTTTTTAAATGATAGACTGCTGGCCCAAACCAAACCCTCAGTCGATGTAGCAGCACTCCTATGCAAGTCAGGCTATTTGTCAGTCGATGTAGCAGCACTCCCTTGCGAGTCAGGCTATTTGTCAGTCGATGAAGCAGCACTCCGTTGCGAGTCAGGCTATTTGTCAGTCGATGTAGCAGCACTCCGTTGCGAGTCAGGCTATAAGATAGTTGATGTAGCAACACTCCCTTGTAGCAGCAGGTTATAAGATAGTCAATGTAGCAACACTTACGCATGTTTTAAAAATGTTTTTTAATAAAGCAAAAACAAAAATACCACTAATTAAAAAAAACTTTCTAGTCATTATTATTGCGGTTATTTTAAAAAACAATAAAATTTAATGTACTTCCGCATTAATTTAATTGCTTTGATATTTCGACGACAATTAAATACAGCTTAAGAGCCGAGGTAAATAAAATTGTAGTCGAAAGAGACTTTTTTTTACCATAAAAGTCTCTTTCGACTACACTATAAGGATATATATATATATATATATATATATATATATATATATATATATATATATATATATATATATATAATATTTCCATATATATTATATGGAAAAAAATTTATAACTTATTTTTTAATGTTTTCCATTTCTACCAATCAGTGTTGATCAGGTCAGCAAAAAAAATTGACACAGAGGTGTTGCCATAAAACATAGAAATGAGGTTGGCAATTTTTTACCGACCCCAAACACATTAAGGTCGGTAGTTAGGTTAGGATTGCCGAATGCCAACCCTAATTTCAAGGGCTGTATATATATATAAATTTGTATATATATATATATATAAATTTGTATATATATATATATATATATATATATATATATATATATTATATATATATATATATATATATATATATATATATATATATATATATATATATATATATATATATATATATATATATATATATATATATATATATATACGTATGTATGTATGTATATATATATATATATATACAAATTTATATATGTATATATACATATATCTATGTATATATATACCTATAGTAAAGATATTTAGTTTAGATATACAGTTTGTGGCTTAGATATACAGTTTGTGGTAAAAAAATAGCTATTCAATTGTCTGTGGTTTTTAAACAGACAAAATTAAGGTTAGAATATAACAAAATGCATAAATTTAATTAAGAAACTAATTAAGATTAAAACCACAGAAGCGCAAATTAAAAGACATAATTGTTTTTAAAATCATTCTGAACGTTTTTAAACACCATCTATTGGTCATTTTGTCTGACATATTTTATGTGCTTTTATTTTCTAATCATTTTAGTTGTTCAAAAAATACTTAATAAATTCAGTATTGTATATAAACTTTATCTTTTGAACTTTTTATTTTTTTATACAAAACAAAATTGAAGTTGAACGCACGGCTACGTTAATAAAATGTCATTTTTTTGAGTTAATTCATTTCTTAAATGATGTCAAATAATTTTTTTGAATGAACTAGCCCAGTTTTTATAATTCATATTAAAACGTTGCAATTAGTGAATAATTTAAATTTATAATTTAGTATTTTTTTTTGTCCGATGGTTTTTATAAATTTCAAACAAATATTTTAGCTTTTAAAACCCCTTTTAAATTTATTTTATAAAAATTTTAACGTAATAGTTATTTTAATGCCTATAGAAACCAGTACTTTTTATTACACTATTAAATTTGAGTTGTTATGTAACGTTTGTTTTTGCGCTTAAAATTTTCTCTATTAAAAGTGTTTATAAAATTAATCCTAGAAAAAGATTGAATATGACCACCATAACCTCTATCTAATTTTAGACATAGAATGTGATTTCCACTTTACTTCACTGATGTAAGGGCCCCAGATTTAAGTTATGTTAAATCTGGGGCCCCTACAAATTTAAAACTAAAATTTTATTTAAAACTTTAAATGTAAAAACATGATCATTATTTCACAATTTAAATAACTGTGCAGTTTTTTTGATAACTTAATGCAAGTGAAGAAGTTAGGTTTTTAGTAAATAAATTTCATGTTGAGTCTTCTAACTTTGGTGCATGCAGTTGTTATATACAACTGTATGCACCAAAGTTGTATAAATATATATATATATATATATATATATATATATATATATATATATATATATATATATATATATATATATATATATATATATATATATATATATATATATATATATATATATATATATATACATATATACATATACATATATATATATATATATATATATATATATATATATATATATATATATATATATATATATATATATATATATATATATATATACACATACATGTGTCTGGGTGTGTCTGCCTGTAACACATGTGTCACACACAGACAGACACATACACAAATTAAGTAATGTGTATGACACACAGAGATAACTTTTCACACATAAATTTGTGAAAAATGTTTAAAGCAATTTAAATTAAAAAATAATCATATTTAATAAAGTTTTCCAATAAATATTAAATACCTTTTTGGAACTGCATATATATTTTCTTCAGAAATGGTTTCTGATTGCTGATTCTGAGATCCAAAATCTGTTGAGCTATCTGGGTCAATTCGGCATATGTTTAGATAGTTATGTAAATTTTCATAAGTTTTAATATCAGTTTTATCTGGAGTTTCTTTTAAATCCATTTTTTCATAGTGGTTGGATTCACCATCATCTAACTCATACATATTAAGCTTTAACTTTTCATAATGAGAAACATCACCATAAACATTTTCTATATCTAAATATACATACATATTTATATTATTTAATGTAGTATTGTTTTAAAATAATACAGTAATGCAAAACTCTTGTTCATAGAAAAATGTTCAAATATAATGAAACATATAATTGCTTTACATAAATTTCAAAACAGAGTAATTTATAATAAAAAACGAAAAAGAAAAAACTTTTATTATGGAACTTTAAGTTTTATGTCTAATTGCAATCATCAGCCATAAATTACAAACTTTTAACAAAAAAGCCCCCATGATCCTAAATTTAAATTAGAATTATGGTGGTGTTAGTTCTAATGACTCCATGCAAATAAAGTTTGATATAAATGATGTAGGCTTAATCTCCGGTAGTGAATGAGGAGAAATTTGTTTTTATACCTACACTTGTGATTAGTTTGCTCCTTGTATTAGTTGGTTTCTCCCATTCATAAAAAATTAATATGCCTCATTCAAACATGCAAATTCTTAATGTTTGATTTTTTAAAATATGATTTACCTCCCAAAGGCCGAGAAGGCCACTACAGTCCAGAAGGGACAGTAGTGGCCATAACATGTGTATAACATGTGTATATGACAGACAATTTAGGATTTCCAGTAATAACGTACCAATGCTTCCTAACAATATTGTTGATATGAATACCTATGTGACTATACAGTGTGATTAGGGGAAGAAACTGTGTGTAGTCTTTAAAGGAATCAAATGCATGGATAAGTTGAATCTGTGTCTTACAAAGTTCATTAGAAATATTTTCATTAATGGTGTGTAACAGATATCCTCTAATGATCAGGCGGGTATTTTCAGTTCTGTATGTGCAGTGAGTATCTTCAGCTGTTAGACAACTTGTTTTTCTGCACATAATAATTTTCTAATTAATAAAAGGTCTAAAGCCTTTTTCTTATAATTGCCATACTTCCTTAGATAACTCTGTATCATTCCTATACCTAATTGTATTAAAGGATTTCAAATAGTTTGCATTCAGCAATAGGGTCGAAAATTGGCAATGCCAACCTAATTGCCGACCTTAAAGTGTTTGAGGTCGGTATAAAATTGCTGAGCTTATTTCTATATTTTATAATAACCCCTTTATGTTAAATTTTTTTACCAACCTGATGCTGACCTCTAACAAGCCTGCAGTATATTGCCAACCTCATTTTTCCTAATTCCGAGAACTGTATTATTTATTATATATATATATATATATATATATATATATATATATATATATATATATATATATATATATATATATATATATATATTTGCATCAAACATTACTAAATTTTTACAAATGCTTAACAAGAAGGTTTTTATTTCTTGTTAAGCATTTTTTTTAATCTTACTCTACATATATTAGACCACATCTAAAGTTTGCCATACTTAGAATACTTACCTTGTTAGTGGCGTAAAAAAAAGAAAATTTTCAACACAATGCCACAAAAGTTCATCAAGCTTTAAAAAATAAAGATACAAAACTTGATGCAAAATGATGAATTGATCTACTCTCAAACACAGACGGAAAATTAGCAAAATCTTGTACACTGACAACCACAAACAAACTTCTCAACAATTTAAAGGTTGAGTGTCTATCACGCATTAGATGGAAGCTGTCGGGCAAAGGATATTGCTCTTGACATATCAAAAGCTTTCAATAAAATTTTGCATGCTGTTCTTCTCCATAAGCTTGCTGTATATCTGGGAAAGTTTTTGAGATTATTAAATCATTTCATTTTTAGTAACTTCTGGGGTACAGCAAGGCTCTACCTTTAGTCTTGTATTGTTTCTTTTTTCATTGGCAATCTGCCTGACAATATTACATCTAAAGTGGCTTTATTTGCTGACTAATGACCTTTATACTTTTGTCTTGACAAAAAGTCTTCACTTTTGATTGCTTAAAACAGGTAACCATATTGAATCTGATCTCTTTTATATAACAGCTTGGGGGTTGCAATGACATGTAAATTTTAATTCCAACAAAACTCAGTTATTTACTGCAAACAACAATCGCAATACTGTTGATATTCTTAAATTGACAAATGACAACCTCTCACTGAGTCCTTTACTTTATGTCTTCTCACATTATTAATACTGACCTCTTATGGAAACCATAAACCCACTGTAAAGTTAGCATCTTCTAAGGTTGTATCTCTTTATCACTCTTGATATTTACTTTCTCCTGATTCCTTACCTTTACAAATTGTTCCTGTATGAAATACTGTTGTCATATTTGGACTGGTTTCTCTAATAATGCTCTTTCTCTTCTAGACAAGATCCAAAAATGCATTGGATTGCATAAATGTAGTTGGATCTGCTCTAACTGCAAAGCTCTCTTCAATCATCATAGGGTTGCTTCTCTTTCTACTTTTTACCTTTTCTACAAATACTATCAGGGTCACTGCTCAAAGAAACTATCGGCTTCAGTTTCATCAACTAAACTCATTCTCTTATTACTTATTTAAATATTGCCAACTTTTTAGTTTAACAAATACCTTTACACAAAACTGCTGATTGTGTATGCAAAATGCATAATACTATTTATCACAAGGACTGGTATTACATATTGTAAACTGCTTCCTACCAATATGATTGCCACTGTGGAAGTCTATTGTGCTCAACTAGAAAAAACTTAGGCAAAAACTCTTAACCATACATTTTTAAATTAAAAAAAAAGTTTAAACAATCCTGAGTAAAACAAAATTAGTTTTTCCATGATAATAGTCAACAAAAAAAACTTGGAAAAGTTATTGGATTAGGAGATATATCATAAAAAAATAATGTCTCATTCAAACATGCAAATTCTTAATGTTTGATTTTTTTAAATATGATTTACCTCCCAAAGGCCGAGAAGGCCACAACCTCACCATTCTTTAGATTTAACTGATTATCACTTTATTCACAGAGCAACTATCTACAAGGATTTTAATACAAACATATATTATATATATAACAATATATCACATAAAGACAAGACTTTCTAGCTCTTTGCTTTAAAACTAAGCTTAAAGGTTATTTAAACTTAGTTTTAAAGCAAAGAGCTAGAAAGTTGCATTAAGTATTAGTTATCAGCTTTTACTTACATCTAATAAAGCAACTTTGGATACTTACAACAACTTTAATAACTTAAAGCAATTTTAGTTATTTAAAGTAATTTTGGTTACTTAAAACAATTTTGAGAATTTTGTCTTTATAACATGACTCATTTTTTATTAATAAAAAAAAAAATCATTTGATTACTTAACACAAATAAAATGACTTTTTATTTGTTTATTTTAGAAGATTTTATATTTTAAGTTGTGTTTCAAGATAAATAAACCATAATGCTTTGCACAATTGAACTGAAATTTTTTTAACTGTCTTTTTTTTTATATATTTTTTTATATTTTATTTAATTTTTATATATTTTATTTTTACCTTTATTCTTTTTATTTAGATTTAAAACGTAATCATTTTGTATTGGTAAAATTCTTGGCAAACTCAATTTGTTATTTTTTCTCAACAATTCATTGCTATCTTTGACACTTGAACCAGCTGCAAGCATCTGTTGACTCCATTTCTTTGAAGAAAAAATGTTATAAATGCACAAATTATACATGCAAATTAAAAATAACAACAAATAATATACAAAAATAAAAAATAACAACAAAATATATATGCAGTCATAGTTACAAACTGTCATAGTTACAAGTTAGTTATTGATAAATAATTTTAAAAGAACTTTTTTTGAAAGGATAAAATAAAAACAAAATTTGAAAGGATAAAATAAAAACAAAATTTGAAAGGATAAAATAAAAATAAAATTTGAAAGGATAAAATAAAAATAAAATTTGAAAACAGTTCACAAATACTTTAATTGGTTTGTGCTAATTGTGTTTTATAAAGATCTTATTTGTTACACCAGCACACCAGCCTTTTTCCACATAGCGTCAAGAACGAAGAATAAAAAATGTGCGAAAACCAAATATTTTATTGAAAACTATTGATGTTTGAAAAATAAAACAAAAACTGTTATTATCATCATTATTTTAAAAAAATTTAATTTGCTTTAGCTTTGTTACTAGCAAAATGGGAGTTTTGTTTTCCATGATACCAACTTAAGTGGTGTAACTTTTATTTTGATGCAACGGCTTTAATAGCCATTCAATAGCTTTTGTTGGATCATGTATTTCCATTGGCCAACCATCAATCTTGATACACACTTGTACTGTTAATAGCTTGTTACCAACATGTGCTCTTTTTTTGTCAACATATTTCTCTGCACTGAAGTCTGTTGCACTTAAACTCTGTTTACATTTAAACTCTGACACAAAAAATTATTCAGAGTAAATAGATTAGCGAATCTATCTTGTTCAATATACATTGGATTTGTGTCCAAGAGAGGAGGAAATAATATTGAATTCAGAATAGTCAACATTTCATATGACATGTTGATATTATATATCAACATGTCCGAACTTGAACATGAAGATTAAAAAGTTCTAGCTTTATAAAACTTGTCTGCCAAAGAAGGAGTGCCTTTTTGAAAAGTAGATAAATAACAACCTGTAGAACTCATAAAATTTTCTTCATTGAATTGATCAAATTTTAATGACATGCAGTGCGTGGAATTTTTAAATTAAATAATAGCTCGTAAATATTATAATGCGTTTGATTTAACCGCCTTTAAATAAGTAAAAGCGAAGTTTAAATTTTTTATATCAAGTTTAAAAATAATATGTTTATCTTAATATATAATATATTAAAGACATTATTATACTATATTACTATAACAAACTTGTTTTCTTGCCATTTTTATTATTGATAAAAAAAGTTACATGAACGCCATATAAATACCTTTTTGGCGCTAAAAGTGGAGCTTATGCGCAAAATTGACACTTAGCATATTATATTTTTTTAAGTAAAAAAATTTACATAACTTTTATAAACCGGTAATGCAATTCAATGTAAACTAACAAGGTTTTCGAGAGAAAAAAACTCAATAAAACTTTAAGTCTATCTAAAAAAATGCGCAGTATTGAATTTAAACTATTTCATTTAAAATACAAAGATCTACAATGATAAAAATTCTGAATATTAAAAAAAAAAAACTACAACTTCACTAGCCTAAAATAAAATAAACTGGGAAAATATAACATATATTTCGATTGGATAATTGGGTTCTGTAAAACTCAGATACGCCAGAAGCTAGTCTAAAAAAACCCATCTGCAGTACTTTTTTACTCTCGGCATCTTTTTCCTGTGTTCCTTTTAACAAAACAAATATGAATATATGTAAATATTGGTGAAAATTATTTGTTTAAATTTTATTTCAAAAATTTGATCGGACAATGTCCGACCAAAATAACTTTTGGTCGGACATTTTGTCCGGGACCTTATAAAAAATTAAATTAAGCCCTGTACAATATAGTATAAATATATGTAAACTAAATATTTGAATTAAGTAATTAAATAAATCTCTAATTAAAATCTTTTTTTAAAAAAAAGCCTATCAAAGGTATGACTTTGAAAAAAATAGTGCTGAAAAACTTAAAGCAAGAGAGCTCATAATATATTTCACTGTTACTCTTGCCAGATGCTTTTGCAGAGGAGAATACAGTGCTAAACCTGTAAAAATAATTTTGTTTTACTGTGTTCTCCATCATAAAAGCTAGACATCTGGCAATCTCAGTTACTCTTAACTTTATGGGTTTTTTTGCACTATTTTTTATGCTTTTAACTATAATGGTTAAAGTATTCACATTTTTTGTTTTGTTTATATTCAGGGCTCAATTTAATTTTTTATAAAGTCTCAGACAAAATGTCCAATCAAACCTTGTTTGGGTCAGACAGTGTCTGATCAAATTTTTCAAATATAATATTTACGGTTTTATGGAACCAAGTTATGCAATTTTTGCAGGCTTGGTCGGGAAGCGGGAGCGATCGCTCTCAAATACTGACCACGGAAATTATATTTAGTTGCGAAAAACTGGCCAGGCTTTTAGTCGTTTTGAGAACATTTAAGTTTATGTACGAAACAAAAAATATTTGTTTTACGGACATACATGGAAACATAAACAACTTGAATGTTCTCAAAATATCTTGGTGCGAAAGAATAAAAAGAATATTCGCGAACACTAAAAACCCGCCAAATTAACGAACAAACTAATTCTATTGGTTCAAAAAATACGCTGACTAAGCAAAATAAAGTTTTAGAGTATTTTGTTAAAATGTTTTGAAAATTGTATGATTCTCGATTTGTTACGTTTTGAGATTTCTAGCATAAATTGTTTTAAGAATATATATATTATTTGTTAACAAAAATAAATGTTTTAAATATATATTAATTAAATTGTCAAAATTTTAAAAGTTTATTATAAGTTATAGATTTTATTAGTATATTCTTATTTTTTATTTAAAAAGTATGTATTCTTTATGTAAATGTAATTGTGTGTATCTGTTTTTATTGTAATCTATCTTTTAAAGCAATTTTTATGATTTAAACAAAGACTTACACAAATATTTGCGTTTTCAATGAAATTATAATCATCCAAATTAATAAAATTAATTATGTAACAAACATATAAGAAGTTTCTGGTTACTAAACACAAACAATGCATACGAAGTAACTTGCGGATGAACAAGCACCGCGTACGACAGAACACAAATATTTATAGCATATAACTAGATACAAAGAAAAGTTTCTAGATATTGGTTTACTGACTCTAATTATTTTCGCTTAAGTTGCCATTCTTAAAACTCGTTATACTTTTTTCTGCTTTGAATACTAATTAAAATTAAAAAGCCCACTCACTAAACATCATCAGCGATATTGTGAAGCAGTTTCGCTTCCTCGTCATTAAGTATTTTTAACCTTTTTAGTTGATTTCTATTTTGTTAATTTAATTTCTATAGTAATTCAATGATTTAACTATTTCATTTGTTTATCTTACTAAGAAGAATTGCTTCAAATATGTTAAACTTTTCAAACTACGCGAAACATAAAATAGGTATTAAAAAAATAAACTTTTTTATTTATAAAATAATTTAGCTTAAATAAAACTAAAACTTGCAAACTTTGTTAATAAAGAATATTTGTTTCCTTTTTAAACAATCGTAAGTTGTTACTTTACATAAAAAACATCGCTTAATTTTTATTAAAATGACCACGTAAATAATATTTATTTGCGAAAAGGCTAGCTTTTCGCAAATAAATATTATTTACGTGGTCAGCAATCGAGAGCGATCGCTCCCGCTTCCCGACCAAGCCTGTTTTTGCCATGTTATTCAATTTACTTATCGTTAGCCTAGCGTAGTTTGCATTTTCTTACCTTATTATTTAGAGTATTTCATCATAGATTTTTTTTTTAATAAAATAGTTTCAATTCAACATTGTATGTTTTTTTATATTGTATTTCTTTCTTAACAATTTCACAACACCTGTTTTGATGTTTTATTAATTTAAATACAATGAAAAAATTGTTACATTACGAATAACTTTTAATCATTAAATATAATGATCGTTAATATAAATGCATTATTTGTAAATTCAATGTTATATTAAATTTTTTTTTAGTAGATATGTATTTTTTATGATAAATTTAAACGTTTTAAACTATTTTTCCATGTCTTTCTAACAATTTTTAAAAGATAATTTCTTTAAGTTACTTTAAATTATGAATAAATTAAATTAAACCTTTTCATGATATATTCGCTTTATTTCTTTTTTTCTATTTTTACAAAGAATTGTATAGAAGTTGTTTTTTTTTTTAACTTCACTAACCAATTAAAGCATGAAATGATTAAAAATTATGATTTTAAAATATTTTTGAAAATTTTGAAATTTTAAAAAATTACAATTTTAAAAAGAAATTTTTTTAAACAAATTTTTTTTTTTGCTACTTTTTGAAAAAAATGTTTATACAACTTAAAAATATTTTAAGTTGTATAATTTTTTTCTTTTCATTAATTTAATTTCACTTTTCAATAATTTAAATAAAGTATGTTTATTTATCAAACAATAAATAGAAGTAATTTGTAAAAGAGTATTGTGTAACTTTAATTAAACGTTTTAAAAGATAAGTTCTGAATTAATTTTTTTCAAATGCAATTAAAAACGTAATAAAAAGTAGTCTAAACTTTGAATTTTTTAGTTTTATTTTAAAGCTAATTTATTTTCTTTCTCCTAAGGAATTGCTTTGTTTATCCTTCAATTTTTTCAACTTTTTTCCTTGTTAAAGTTTAGCTTAACGTTACTTTTTTCAGCGCATTTCTGAAATGTTTAAATCATCAAAACATCTAAACAGTTGCGGTCAAGTTGTAAACAAAAAAAATCACTTGCGTGGTCAGTAATTGCGTTCCATGGCACGTCATTCCTGTCCATACTTCATTTTTTTAGAGTTTAGGTCAAAATGTCCAATTACTTTGTAAATTGATCGGACAATCTGAGGTTTTAGCCGGACAATGTCCAATATCTGACCGTTAAATTGAACCCTGATATTATACAATTACTTTTATCTATATTTACAGATTACAATTATCTATATTCACTGTCTTTGATTTAATTTTTCACTGTCTTTG